AGATTAGAACACCTTTTGTAAATAGAGTGGCTATTTTTGATATCTTGACATATTCAAAATTTTTGCTGAAAGACAATAGCCATAAACTCGTCAACTTCAACGACACTTCCTTTCCAAATGCCATGGTAATGTTTTTTAAACAAATACCCTTTTGCCATATAAAATAATATTCCACCAAAAATAATATAGTTTCAATAAATAAATAACAATATGTTATGACATCCCATGTAATTAAAAGGGATTGATAAATATAGACGATCTATTATATTAACCCATGTATAGTTTCAATAAATAAATAACAATATGTTATGACATCCCATGTAATTAAAAGGGATTGATAAATATAGACAATCTATTATATTAACCCATGTAATTAGAGGTGATAAATACTAACAATCCCTTTTTAAAATGGATGGGGTTTATATGCGTAAGGACCAAAGTTTTCTAGCCACAGTATCACGCATGGCGGTAGGAGTCTGTTACAAAAAAATGGTGGGGTCGTGACAATATGAGACAACCAACTCGTATGTATATATGCAGGCTTCCTCTAAAATTCATCTTTAAGATGGATTTTTTATCCAAAATTTTAGAGATTCATCATCTAAGCCAAACTGACATTAAATATGATTTTAAAAAAAATTTAAAATGTATTTTTTTTGGGATATTTGTGGCATCATCCATATTTGAATTGACCATGTGTGCTTTACACAACGTCCATCCATCTTGAAGATGGACATTAAAGAGTCCGCATGCTCTTTCACCAATTACTCATAGAACATTTTTTCTTTTAAAATACCCAAAAAAGTGTCAAAAATAAATTTTACACTAATATTTTTTCTTGTTTTGAAAAAGGAAAGAGTTTATATAAGATCGCAAATGTATAATATAAAAATACATTGTACCCCAAAAGTCCAATAAAAAAGAGTATTTGGAAAAAATTATAGATACCCCCTGAAATGCACTCTATAGACATGTTAAACCCCCAAATACTTTTCATATTAATCACACACTTAACTCAATTGTTGTTTCTTTTGCCTCAATTGTTGTTTTTTCTTGCTTTTACCCCGAGTAAAAAAGTTGTAAATTTTATGACAAACCTAGTACACATACCCTCACGTGTTCATCAGCTCACGTGGCATGCCGCTTAAAGCAAAAATTGGGAATTGGTTTGACACAAAATTTGTTAGACCAACCGAATTTGCTCAAAAGTGCGGGTTGACAAAAACATAGACAAAAAATTCGGTTCGACATAAACGTATGTCAAACCGGTCATTAGAAGCTACAAGCTAGTTCGACACATTTTCTGTTGGACGGTATTTTTTGCCATGTCTTTCCGGTTTGGCACATTTCTTACCTAACCGTAGCAAAATCAATGAAAAAATGTGGCCTAATAGTGAGGCTTTTAGAATTTGAAGCCTGAAGGCAATCCGACACACTTTTGTGCCCGACCAAGAGTATCTACTTGTTTAGAACAAAAGTGTGTCGGATCGCATTCTAGCTTCAAATTTCATAAGCCTCACTACCGTCTGACTGCACTTTTTCATTTCAGGTAGGGAGAGAGAGAGTTTTAACCATAGTTAGCAAGTCGAGGAGTATCAATATATCGACTAACCATAAAATTAAAAATAAATCGATTTTATTTCAAAAAGTTGGATGAAGAAATTGAGCAAAAAATATGGATCAGCAAAAATACTCTCTTTAAATCGCTAATATATCAGATTAGGCTAAAAATATAGGAGTGAAACAAAGGGATAAGTTAAAAAAAAAAATGAAATTTAAAATTCTAAAAATAAAAATATGCTTAAACCATCAATAACTAATTCATCCATAAAAACTTTGCTAAACTAATAGTCTCATGAGTCGTAACTTTCATCCCATCATCCAAAATTAAATATAAAATTCATTAGAAAGATTCAAAATAAAAAATAATGCATGGTTCAAAAAAAGTACCATAAATTTCTCATTAAATGCTTTAAGCTAACTATAGCCAAAAAAAAAAGCACCAAATTTAGAGAGTTTAGAGTTTAGACAGAGAACACGAAGGGCAAGAGATGTTGCATTTTAGTGGGAGAGAGAGGTGATGAAAATAGAAGTTACATGAAACAAGAAAATGTATGAAAATGGAAGTTACATAAAATAGGAAAAAATATGAAAATAGAAGTAACATAAAATAAAAAAAATGTATGAAAATTGAAGTTACATAAAATAAGAAAAATGTATTCATCTTTCATAAAAGAAAAAGGTATGGAACTAGAAGTTCCATAAAATAGGAAAAAAAAATGAAAATAGAAGTTACATAAAATAGAAAAAAGATATTCATCTTTCAAAAAAGAAAAAGTATACAGGCAAAAAGAAAAAGTTTTTTTGAACCGACTTTTTTATAAAGCTTTAAAAAATCACGTTTTAAAATTTTTCATGAAAAAAAAAAGTTTTTTTGATGATCTATTGAAAAATGTGTAATTTAAAATATTTTCCTACAAATCTCTGATTTTTTGAAAAAATCGCATTTAAAACAGTGACTTGCTAACTGTGGTTTTGATGGATAAGGGAAGATTGAAATGGTAGTTTAGTTTTTAACTTATTATAACTTTTTAACTAGGGGTAAAAACAAAAGAAAAAACAGAGTCTATGATATTAAAAATATTAAGGAGTTGGAAGTTTATAAAATATATTTAAGAGATTATTCATAATTGGAAAAAGTTTATATAAAACCAAGGCTCTAAACAATCAAATTAAAGCCCACCTCGAAAATTTCATTAGAACATGTTGTTTTGATGCCTAAATATCATCAAATTGATCATCTCGATATCAAGATGTATGGACATGAGAAAAAAATGGATTTCAAGTTTTGGAAATAGTGCATCTTGTAACGCATTTTTGGACAGTTAATTTTCAAGATTTTCAAGTTTTCATAGATCTGCTCGATTTACACTTTTTTTGAAGCTTTAATTTTTATAATTAATGATGAAAATATATTTTAAGGCTATCACAAAGATTTCCAGTATTGAAACCATTTTTCTTGACACTATTTGACGGTAGGTTTTATTTTGATAGTTTAGAGCCTCGGTTCTATACAAAGCGCACCCTTCATAATTTTAAAAGAAATTACAGGGTTGGCTCTAGAAAATACATTTAAGAGAAATTACCTTATGTATTGTAACGTATTATGAGGCCATCGCAAGATGTCACTCACCCCGTGACCTACAGCATCCTGCCAAATTTAGAGTCGCGCCTTACTTGATATTGTAGAAATGCGGGCTTAGCAATATATATATATATATTTTAAATATAATTTGATACTAATTTGTAGAGAATGTATAATCTTTAATGGAGATCATGAATATGAAAAAAAAAATAAAAAAGATTAAAAACTAGAAATAATAGTTATATTAAGAAAACATTTGAACCGTTCGTTACATTTGTTTTTAGTTGGAGCACCTATTTGCATCCATCTTTAAGATGAATAAGATGGATGCTTTATACATTTGGACCTCATATTGTAGAAATGCGGTCCAACCCGCATGAAACAATTTACCCTTGAAAAAGGACACGGTTTTTATGCGGCCAGCCCGCATATTGTAGAAATGCAGGTTTGGCAATAAATATATTTTTTAAATATAATTTGATACTAATTTTTAGAGAATGTATAATCTTTAACATGAAAATCATGAATATATATAAAAAAAAGGTAAAAAGCTAGAAATAATCTTTATATTAAAAAAAACATTTGGACCATTATTTACACTTGGTTTTAGATGGACTATCTATTTGCATCCATCTTTAAAAAGGACACGGTTTCTATGTGGCCAGCCAGAATATTGTAGAAATATGGGCTTGGCAATAAATATATTTTTTAAATATAATTTGATACCAATTTTTAGATAATGTATAATCTTTAACATGGAGATCATGAATATGGAAAAAAAGCAAAATTGAAAAGTAGAAATAATAATTATATTAAAAAAACATTTGGACCCATTAGTTACACTTATTTTTAGATGGACTACCTATTTGCATCCATCTTTAAGATGGATGCTTTGTACCTTTGGACTGCATATTGTAGAAATACAGTCTAGCCCACATGAAACAATTTTCCCTTTAAAAAAGACACCGTATATTGTAGGAATGCCGGCTTGACAATAAATATATTGTTTAAATATAATCTGATACTATTTTTTAGAGAATGTATAATCTTTAACATGGAGATCATAAATATGGAAAAAAAAAAGATTGAAAACTATAAATAATAGTTATTATGTTAAGAAAATATTTGGACCGTCAGTTACACTTGTTTTCAGATAGACCACCTATTTGCATCCATATTTAAGATGGGGGGATGATTTCATGCAACGGTTGAATGGTAGTATAATGCAACCATCTTCAAAAACTATGTTAAAGATATTTGTTTGATATGAATTTTTAAATATACACTCTTTTCATTCTGAAGAACAATCACAAAAAAAAAAATTTTTGAAAAAAATTCTCTAGAAAGTTTTCATTCCAGCCCAATTAATATAAGCCATCCATTTTATTAAGATGGTTAGACATAGGCTTCAAAAGCATTTTTTTTTATTTCTACATTTTTTATATAGTGTTATCATCATTAGATTAATAATTCAAAAAAAGAAAAAAATGATTTTGAATTTTTCAAAGCCTAGATCATGAAATTCACCAAATGGATAGTCGAGATTCATTGTTGGATGGGTACTACTTTTGACCATTTCTAGATTACAAATTGAAAATTTTCTCTATAGGATTGATTATGAGGATGAAGAGAATGTGTGTGCAAAATTTGGGGTCATACAAATGCCAAAAATATAGTTTTCTAAAAGTGTGGTCGCATTATACGATTATAACCGATAGATGAATGCTTTATACCTTTGGACCGCATATTGTAGAAATGCGGTCCGGCCCGCATGAAACAACTTTCCCTTGAACGAACCTAACCTCAGAGAAATTTTTTCCATTATTGTAACCGAACAGGGACTGGGTGAGTTGGGTTTGAAGCGGGACGTACTCCACCACTCGCTCCGAGTTTCAAATTCTCTCTCTAGAAACCTTTCCGTTTCTCTCTCTTCTGTGGCCTTTCAAATTCTCTCTCTAGGATATTTCTCTCTCCACCTTTCTCTTTTCCCCTCAACACACGGCTTTCTTCCTTTGTTCCCTTTAAAATTCTCTCCAAAGTCTTTCTCTCTCCTCTTCCTACCTAAAATTAGGGTTCGATCCTTTGCAGGGTATTAATCGCCTGTGAGAATTCGTTTGTACGATCTCGTAGAGCTGCCATTTCTCAAAGTTCAGACTGGTTTTTCGAGTTTGTGGCGGCCATCTCCTGGCGTTTCCTTTTTCTTTTCTTGGGTTTTACTATTATTGGCTTAGGGTCCCTGACATTGTTAGATATCGGTAAATTGCTTCGTTTCGATTTAGGGTTAGGGTTAGGTTTTTTGATAGATTGATTGGGCTTATTGTTTGTGGACCATTTCTTCTTCCGCATCTTCTTTTGATTTTTCTTCTGTCCCCTCTTCTGGCTGTTCTTCTTCTCCAATTTCCCTCTTCATTTTTCTTTTATTTTCCATTGGCTTGCTGGGATTAGAGTCCAGGAACATTGGATCTGGTGCCCTAACTGCAAAACCGAGAGGATAAACCTTAATTGCAGCGTCGGATCTCCCCCGAACGGGAATTTAAAGTTGTTTACCTATTTGTTATTGTTTCTCTATCTCTGCATTTTTTAAGTTTTTTTATTTATTTGCTGTTGATTCTATTTGTTTGTTGTTTCTAACCGGTTTTTGGGAGTTTTGTTGTTTTAGAAAACGTGTTACATTGGCGCTTTTATCTGCCTGATTGTGCTTGGCTATAGTTGTGGTCTGACCATGCTCTGAGATGCCGAGTTAGGGCGAGCGTTGCATGATCAAAATTGTGCTTCAAGTCTTGTGCTAGTGTAAGTGTTTTTGCTGGAAATTTTTTATTTTATTTTTGCTTGAATTTGGACTACATTGGTTGGTTTATGGATATCAATGTGTTCGTTGGTGATTTTCTTGTTTCCTTTCTGGATTTCATTATTATGGGTTTTCTGTTTAGCTTGGCTTTTGTCAAACGTTACTTCATTTGTTTGATTTTCGTCTGAAGTATTTTGTTTTCTGGTCTGTCCTGTATACTTGGTGTTTAGGCAATATTCGCAGTATGGATATTGTTTGCTTTACATATAAAAGGAATGCGCTTCTTTTGCCTATTCTAGTGATGCGCGTCAGATGTCTAGATGCACTATAGTGAAGGGATTTGCAAATGTTAGTAACAAACGTGTGAAGCAAATATTTCTTTGGGGTGTCTTCTTTCTTTATGAGAACTTCCTCGGGCTGTTTAAGATCATCTTTTATGGGAACATAGGGATTGCGCAGTTCATGTGAAGGATTGATAACTTTAAATCTAGATTATATATGAAGCATGATGTAGTGTACCGGTGATCTGCTAGAAGTTTGTAGGAGTGGTTTAGAATCTCGTTAATGTTCTGATGCATTGCCTGATGCTTGCTGAGTAAACCTAGTGTGGCATTACAGTATTTGCAGCAACTACCAATCTAGGCGAGGAGTGCACTGTAACAAGATGTGGCTTCTCCAGCCATTTACTAGCCTTTTTAAAAAATCTCGGCATACCTTGTGTGGACATGCTATGTGATCCTCATGCTTTTGAAATAAGTATTAAGGGAGGTCTCTCTTGGGGTCGTAGAATCACTTCCTGTTTATCGTAATCTTATTTCTATCATGCTTGGTTAGGAGGGGAATCTTGATGTAGATTTGAAGTTTACATGTCTCTTATATCTGCCATTTGCCTAGATATGCAAGGGAAGGTTGTGGTACATCAATTTTGTTATCTCTTTGTACTCTTGGCTTTGGAATGCATTTGGAAGTGTCACCCTAGTACTGCAGTTTTTAAACCGTGTTGTGTGTTGACACAAGTAGACACGGACCCTGCATGTTGACCATTCATCCTAGGCTATTTTATTTATTTATAGTATGTATCGACACCTTATATGGAAGTATCATCATTTCTTTTACATTAAAAGGCCCATAGGCCTCATGGTAGAGTGGACATTGTTATGTCAACGGGCTTGAGATTGAATCCCACTACGAGTGACTTTTTTAAAATATTTTTATATGAAATTGCATTTTAAGAAAATGAACATCAGGGCTAGGTTTGGAATCCATGACATGTTGCAGGGAATGCTAAAGCGTACAATTGCATGGGGAGTGCTTATGATCACATAGTGTGCCAATAATTAATTATACTACACAAAAGTAGGTAAAACTCACCCCTTGAGGCTCAATGCTGAGTCTCCTTCTCAAGGGTCGGTGCGCTTTACCAATACGAAGACAAGAAGTTTGTATAAAGAAATGTGTAAATTTTTCAAAATAACATATTTTTAATTAAAAACTTTATGTGGATGTGTCTGGCTGTATTGGTCTTTTTAGATGAACTACTAGGCACTCTTCAATATGTGTTAGACACCAGATGAGCATCAGCGTCGATATAAAACTGGTATTTGGAATGTATCTGATGCAGTGGTGCTACTCTGCTTGTATGTGATTTGTCTACACTTTTGGATTGGCGAGTTTTCACCGTTCTAGTGAGATCAGTTAGAGACTATGTTATGCAAACATGGGTTAACTTTCTTTGATTGATGTTATTCTAAAGTGTTTAGTTTTGTTCTTTGGAGATCTGTTTAAACATTTTTGTTTCCCAAGCATCACAATCTTTTGGCAGTTTAATTTACGAACTCAAAACCTTATTGAAATTGTCAAAGGCAAGTCCCTATCTTGTTAAGGCTTCTTGCTTTGCCATCATTAAACATATTATTTCCTTTTACTGTATGCAACTTTTGGTATTGTTCATCTGATTTCTATTTTAGTCTTGGGGCTTCTACTACTTTATATACATATATTATGCGATTCATATGTGGTGCCATGTTAATGAGATTGGCATTCTGGCTCATAAGATAATACTTGCTGACCTTTCTTCACATTTGGCTCTGTCATTTGCAAGAATATTCAATTGCACACTTTCAATAATAGGAATATGTCGCAGCGACATTATGCATCCTTTTCTCCCAACTTATGTAGAAATACATTTCTCTTTGTTAAGTTTTTGTTACTAATTAAAAATTGAAAGATTTTGCAAATGTTGGGGTTTTGTTTTCCATTTTGATAACTTGATTTAAGACTAGCAACTTACTATTTTATGCCATGTTATATTGATAAAATGGATGAAAGGGTGTTTATTAAGAACTTCTGCTGTAATTTCTAACCTTGCATTGAAGGGATTCTTCGATTAATTTGCTGGTTGAGTTTTGTGTTTGTGAAGATGTGCTTAGATGTCATTCTATTTAGTGGCTTGGAATTTGGTGTCCTAATGTTCTTAGTTATTAGGGATATTTGTACTGGCCAATGTCATCAAATGTGGGATGCAGACTCGATGCAGAGATGTGGCTCGATGCGATACAGAGGTGGCTCATCGAGTCAATGAATTTAAAGAAATGGTGAAAAATTATAAAATATAATAACACGTAGAAAAACATAAATGTATGATTTATGTGAGTAGAAATTTTTATTTAGTACTTTTGTCGAAAATATTAGACCGAGTTGCTCGATAACCTCATAGTCCGATAAAGAATAACAGAGTTTATTGTCTTCCATTAAACAAAGCAATCCTTTCCATCCCAATAGCTATGGTAATTAACAATTTAGTATCATCAATTAGCAATTTAACATAACATCCAAAGACTACATGTACTCCATAAGTATAAGCTAACGACCACAACCTCACAGCCACAACCTAAACATAATTTTCAAACTCCATAGACCAAAAGTTCATAACATGTAAAAGGTAATAAATAGATTCATGCTCAATTAGTCATGCCAACTCTCAACTCTTAATCGTAGAAGTCATGTGATGATTTTATCACGTGCATCTCCCCATCTGTTCTCGAGGTTGAGGAGCCGTCATCATCAGTATCATCACCCTTCTCCACATACACTTCTACCTCTGCTTATGTGATTCAACCTCCTCGATCTCCAGAATTGATGCTGATGTGGACTTGACACTCTTCCTTTCTGAGCTAGTGCCAGGCCTTACTTTTTCTCCAGTCCTTGTAGCTTGCTTGACATCCAACCAAGTAACGTCCTCACACTCGAACACCCGCTCCCTTAGGTTCATCCAATACAATTGGGTCCACATCCATGCACTTCAAGAACCTCTCCCTAAGGCACTTGCAATCTTGGTAAACATGCCTAGTAATTTTGACAGCATGTTTTTTTTTGTTGGAAAATACCTGTTGAATATTTTTTCTCACATAGGATACAAAAAATACTATTTCAAATTTTTGGATTGTTGAGGCTATGATATTTCCATGCTGGATCATTATTACCTGATGAAGAAGAAGGCATTGCTCCAAAAAAAAAAATGGTAGTTGGAAATGAAAATTTACAAAAAGATTTGATCCTAGGTTCTGAACTTTTGATACGAAAACCAAGATTCGAAGACATTTTGATTTCTAGTTTTGATCTCCTCGGCTTTGAATCCTCTAATACTGGGCCATCTTCACTCTAAAACCTTAAAAACGATGCCCAAAGTAATAAGAAAGAACCCTCAAATATTTCGAGGGTGGAAGACGGATATGCAATATGTACATATCTACACACGAACATATACAAATATAAAATATTGGGCATTCCCCTTATGTTCCCATATAAAATATAGTGCATATATAGGAGACCACTTTTAGGTCACTACCTAAGCAGCGCTCCCAAGCGCTCTAATGGTAGGTAACTTCAGCCAAGGGTTGATCGAAGGCTCCCTCACCCCCACACTCTTGTGCTCCCAACAACTATGCTCCTGCCTTTCCAGTCGACGTGCCATATATATGGGCACATCGTAAAGTTTTGCATATGCAGGGTGGGTCGATGGGCCTATGGCCTCATAACACATTAGGCGGGGGCATAATGCATTAGAGGGTCGCATTTGAGGTGAAAAATTGCATATATGTTAATTTTATTTTTTATCTTTTTTGGATTTATATGTATTCTAACTAATTTTTCCATGCAAATATTTATGCATGAATATTGGAACACATTCAAAACTACAAAATTTAGTGAAGAAGGACAAAAACATAAAGAAGTCCATGGTGTATTAACCTCCAACTATTAAATACAAATTGGGTATTGCATACGCCGTATTGGCACATGAACACGATCGCAACCAGACTAAATGAAATACAAAAGAGAAGTATAAAACCAATACCCCTAATGTCCAATCCAAGAGGATGAAATGACAACACAAGATGAAATACAAAGAAGAGAGAGGGTATCTTTCTTTCTTCAATTGTCACTAGTCACAATCTTCATAATCACTTGCATATCGGCCCCCATCTGAATCGAGGCCATCATCAGAATCATCACCCTCTTCAACATTGCTCATCGTCCTCAGTTTCCTCTAAATCGACCTCCTCCTTTATCTCCCTCACCTTTTGTGAAGTACCAGCTAAATTAGGAGCAGCATTATTTGTAACCACTTGAATTACATGCTCATCCCCAACCTCCTCAATAGCCTTATCAATAAAAGAGAATATATATTATGCATCATGAACATCTTCATAAGCATCTATGGATCTCAAAAATATTGTATGAAAGGGACAATTCACCAACACTTTTTCATTTCAATGGGAATTTGCTTGTTTATGATTATACTTATGATGAAACATTTATAGAATTTGAAAAAGAGTAAGAAGAAATGGTTCGAACCTCTTATTTCTTGATCCGAGAAATCTATGAATGGGGATCCTAATGCATATAGATCGAATAGTCCTATGGGAGAAAGAATTTCCAATGACATTTGGAATCTTTTGTTTTTGAACAAAAGAACCGTTTTCAAGTAGTGTTCTATTGATTA